CACAATACAAGACACAAACAATAATAAACAACTATTAAAAGAGTGATATGCGACTTTTAAGCTGAAATCAGTTCAATCATTGCTATTAAACTTTGTGTGTAATGTCTCTAGTGCAAATGAAATATTAATCCCTGAAAATTATGTTAGACTTACCCAGTAATCTCATATAAGGCATATTAGAAGGGCGAGATGTTGAAAGTCCGTAACTAATTTAAAATTAGATAAAAATGATTTAACCAAATAGCCAAAAATAATATTGACTTCTTAAATAAAGTTATAAACGTATGAAATGTATGAAATGAAATCGATTAATACTATAAATTGATTCGGTGCAATAAATTTACTCGTCTTGCATGGTCACGATGGAATCAGATTTTTTGACGTAAAAGAAAATAATGCGAGCAAATTTTCATAGTTTAGAATGCTAGAATTATTTTAATCTTTCCTACGATCAAAGAAATTGTTTCCTAGAATTAATTCTGCCTGTAACCCGATGAAAACCCGGTGATCCGAAAGTTCAAGTACCATAAGTGCAGTATTTTTTCTTTAAAAAAGTTTATTAAAAGACTATTTACATAATCATTATGGAAACATCGTAAGAATAAAATAAATCAGCGGATTGAGTTAGGAGACGTTGTTTCATAAAATTGATTTATATGAATTTTATTTAAATTCCAGCAAGGAAATGATTTTTTTTAAATCCATAATTGTACAATTATTTAACTAATTTAGAAAAAAATCTTATATGAGTGTAGTTCAGACAAGGTATGAACAGAATCCCGAAAACAGATACTGTTTGACACAAGGCGAGAGAGCAGTTCAGGTATGTTGACGATGAACACACACGGGTCGAGCTGTCACTTAGGGGGATAGGGGAGAAGGGGGGGGGGTGTTGACCGCACAGAAAGGCGGTGTGCTGATTAGAGAGGAACACATGCGTGTCAGTTTTCTGGTAAGGAAAGATCTTCGATTTGACACTCAGGTGCATTAAATTTTCAGTTTATTTCCATGCCGAAAAGGTAAGCTGATAAAAGTCATCATGTTTATCCTGTTTATTATTTTTAGATTATCTGATGCCAAATAAAATTAACGATAAACTTCTATTTTATAGTAACTGCCACGGTGTGATAAATCGGGTAGAGTATTTTCATCCATTACATTTTATAATATTGATTATTTTTTATTTTAGATATATTAAGGAATTTAACTAATTAGATAGTGATTAAAAATTGATTAAAAAAAATTGAGTCTTGATGAACAAAATCAGTGTTTAAGTTATCTGTGTCAATGTCTTAAATGCTTCGTTATTATTTTCTTTTAAATCAAAATTTTAGATAATTGTGCATACATGCCGATCAGGGGGCGAAAACACATACCTAATATTACCAGATGATTGATCGGGAGAAAATGAATACTGTATTGCATTTAGAAAAGATGCATATCAATCCCCTCCTAATAATTATTTATAATTTTTCGGAAGGGTGGTCGGAGGTACGTATACACCGTGACTTACTGAAAATCATCCTCTCTAGTGATTAATTAAAGAAAAATCTTTTTAATTTTTCATTTTGACCAAAAAAATCATACAGATCAATGAATTAAAAAAAAACAAGAACAACAGGGAATCGATTGCTTCATTTTCAAAAATTAATTCTCTGCTAGATTATGATATGATTATTTTCTTAATTAATTTTATTATTAATTATTTGATTTATTAATTATATTATTCTTTTATTTCAACTTTTCCTTCTTCGCTTTAATATTTCTTTTAATAATGAAAAACTAAGGGATAAAACTTTCGTCTCTCTTTCTTGGTTAAAATAATCTTATTTTATTTAACAAAACGAAAAGAAACTCGGAATACCTCCGTAGTCTCTTCCTGTAGTAAAGATAAAAAGCAAGGGTTTCCGAATATACACGATAAACGCAAAACACGATAGAACCTGATAAACGATCTACACGATAAACGCAAAACACGATAAACGGAAAACACGATAGAAAACGCGAAACACGATAAACGGAAAACACGATACGATAGGATACGATAGGATACACGCACGATACGATAGGATACACGCACGATACGATAGGATACACGCACGATAGGACACGATAGATTTGTAAAGAATAACGATGCGGGTACTGTATGGAAGCATCCTGGGGTAGTGTAGATTCTAAAGTTATAAAATCATAAAAGGGAAGGGTTTAATGGGTTAAAGCAAGAAGGGGACCATGGGCCTCTTGTAATGCTTTGAGCGATGTGGACCATTTATAGCTAGTAAATAGCCATAATATGGGATAAAAAATATTAAGAAGTATAAAGATATATTTTTGATATTTAGTTTAGAATTCATAGGCCAATTAGACCTAGATTAGTGTTGTAGCACACAAGCCTCACGTTTTATGGTTAAAGTATTTGTTTACTTCTTTAGGAAATAGAGAATTACTTTGAAGACTTCTGGAATGCTGTACCAGACGAGGACAGAGATTGGTTAAGTGAGTCTCTGAATGATCGGAATATGCAGTAGGTCTAGTTGAACTAAATGATGAAACAAAGACAAAGCTGGATTCAATTAAAAAGTCCATAGTTGAACTTTTTACAGAAGAGACCAATACAAAAATTGAAATACCTTCATCATGGGCTTTAATGGAACAGTTATTATATGAAGGAGGGTGGAAAGTTTTGTCCCTTGATGAAATTAGGAGGCTCAACTCATCCCTCCCTGACGAATACCAAATTAAAAGTGATGAGGAAATGTCTATGTTTCTAAAGTGTTTCCATGACAATGGCATTCTTTTGTATTTTCAAGATGAGAAATTGAGGGAACATGCAGTACTAGACATTCAGTGGTTTGCTAAAGCTTTCAGTAAGATTATTGCTGATAAAAACCACATCAACAAAGACTGCAAAACAAGATTAATCAAAGATTGGAAATCCTTCAACAAAACAGGGGAACTTAAAGATAAAGTGGTAAATGCACTATGGAAAGATGAACCCTTATATTTGACACACAAAAGTGAAGTTATGTCTTACATGGAGAAGCTTCAAATGCTTGTACCTTTGGAGTCCTCTGGGGCTGTATCAGAAGGTGACATGTCATGGTATGTTCCGTGCATGAACAAAAAGCAGTTTAAAGCTTATTTTAGTGAAGATAAATGGGAATGCTCCTCTATTTTGTGCTATCGTTTCACTTATTTTGCCATGTTTGTGTTCTACAGACTGGTAGCATATTGCATGGGGTTTCTAAAATGGAATGTTTCAAATGATGGAGATCATGAAGGAAGTTTATGTCTTTATCAAACAGCAGCAGTGTTTGATCACAATGAACACACTGTTGTTGTTGGCATATGTAATGATGAAATTCAAATGCAAGTGCTGCAAATCAAACCATTGGCTATAAATAAAAAAGTATCAATTGAAATCGGAGGTTTCCTTGAAAATGCCATAGAAGAATTGACAGAAACTTTTATTGGCACAAACATTTTCCATAAAGGATTCAAATGCCAAAACAACATTTGTAATGAGAATGATCTATCTTTCACTCTTGAAAGCGAGCTCTCCAAAATCAAATCTGAAGAAATGCAGTGCAAGTGTCAACTTCTGGAAAGACATGTGATAAATGTTCAAAGGACTCTGTGTTTCTGGGAAAAGGTAATTACATTTGTATAATATATCATTACAAACCCGGTCCCTGCAAAAAAGTCGAATTGGTTGAATAATGTCAACGTGTACGTGCCAGTGTACGTGCCAATTTTTTTCTGCAGAATTAAATATACAGAACTACATGTGACAAAAATATATAGATATCCAAATCGATATCACTTCTGAACTGAAAATAACACCATGATTTGATTACATTAAGGATAGATGATACAAACAAAAATGGATGCCTGGATATGTATATATTTTTTGGCCTATTTTCATTGAAAATGATGCAAATAATTCTAAAAAATAAAGAAATTGTAAACCTTCTATGATGCTCAAAATTCTGCCTCTCTGAAACCATCCTTAATCTATAGAAATATTTTTATTTGAAATTCCATTTTTGTGAAAATTTGAATGAAAAAAATATACAACTTAGCCGTGAAACTTGTTCTGTTTACTCAATAAAACTTGACTCAAATTGTTATGTTCAAATTTTTTAGACAAATGTTTGTTAGTATCATCTGTCCATAATACTCACCGTAAGTCATTTTGGATAAAATCATTGTCACAAACAAATGAACATATATATTTAGAGTTCTGACTTCTGGTTCACAATAGTTATCACTGTCTAGCATACTTTGTGTAAAATGACATTTTAATTGATTAAGTTGGTATGGGTTAAAAATTTTGGGATTGAAAAATAATATGGCAAGTATTTTAAATTTGCACTTCGCTGTAACATAATTTATCAGTCAACCAATTTAATCTTGACCAATATTATACACAAACTTTGAACATGTCTAGTTAGACCTATTAAATAAATGTTGTGACTTGGTACTTTGGCAAAAAAAGGGGGAGCATTACAGTGATTTAGAACGGTATAACAGAGTTGTTGAGAATGTGTTACAACGCGCTATGCAAAATTACGCACTTTGAATTTTTTTTGAAAGTGCGTTAAAGAGCTAAAGCCACGAATCATCAAAATATGCCTTAACTCAAAAATGTATAATTTGAACAATATTATACTCTTGAGAATATGAGGTTTTCATACCATTTTTTAATTTTTCGTTGTACCAAACGGTATTTTAGAGAGAGACTTTGAAATGTGGCATTGTTTTTCAGTAAAATGCGCATTGAACGTGAAAAACGTACTTGATAACGTTATGCGAAATTCATTATATGTTCTTGACCAGCAGCTTGTATTATTTAGATAGCACACATGTAATTTTGTGTTTTAATAAGACTATTTTTTTATTGTAGTTTGTTTCTTATGAGAGTTGAATAATATTTCTATAAATTAATACAAGGTTATAGTATATCGCTTACTTTTTACTTGGGGCACAAATTCAGTCGAGACCGCCATAGCGGAAGGAACGAAGCATGTGCCCCTAGATGAGTAGATCTATCTTGCGGCGAACATGCATCAGACTCGACGCGATATGCAGTCAGCACTGGTTATTTTGTTGTTAAACTGTGAGTATTAAAAATAAGGTTGTGAATGTATTGTTTTTTAGTTTCTAAATAGACATATGTATGTCTGAATCTATTTGTATTCGTGTGCATGACTCACTGGTAATGTACAATAAAACATTGGAACTAGCCTATGTTTGAGTATACAGTATATAAAAAATAAACCACACACACGCCAATAGGTCAGTATATAATCTTGATCAAAGTTGTTAGGTAATAACATTCTCTTTTGACATCCCTTCATCCTCGCACCGTCTCCCGTTTCTCATTCAGTCATTGTTTACATTTACACAAGACACGTTACGATGGTTAGGCCTAAGCACATTTTGTGGCCTTTTTATTTTTTTTAATTTTGACCTTATTTCACTTTATTTCAAGATCTCCGTTTTAATCCTTTTATTATTTTTTTTATTGAACACTTTAATATTTTGGAAGGGGGGGGGGTTGACCTATTCCAGACTCTAACAGTCTAGATATATCTTCATTATTTACAACAACAACAACAAAAAAAAGACAGCAAAGTTTCTTCGTAAGTTCACTTGATACAGAAATGTCCAAGCATATAGCAGGGACCTACTGTGTATATACTTTGTATATAGATCCCTGTGCATAGACATATCTGATTTATTATATGAATTATGTATTACATTTATTTTTTATTGGGCTTGTTTATCATGTTTATTTGAATTTTTAAATATTACAATTTTATATTTTGCAATTAATATGTATTCATTAGTTATAATTATGCACCCCTATTGATAGATCTGGGACATTTTTTTTTTGGTCATGTCTGTTTGTCTTCTATTGTCAACTTTATCCTTCGCCATAACCTTCGAATCATGACTGATGAGATCTAGAGACTTCATATTTGGTATGCATTCTCCACTATTGTAGTTCTTTCAAATGACACCAAAGTGCATAGTGTTTTACAAACACATCTTTTTGTTTAATTTATAACTACCTGGTAACTAATCAAAACAGCAGTGCATTTTGAAGTGGTTACCTGAAATAGAATTTTCTGAAATGTGTTCATCTTTTTCAGTATCATTAGGGGCCTACCATGCTGCCGTTACTCATTCGTGGTGTATATCTGCATTCGATCAACAAAAAGAGGTAATTTGTTAGGTCTATGCACATAGTTTAAGCCTTTATAAATCTGGCACACAAAGAAATGCAATAAACAGTTCTTGACCACACAAGTGTCGCCTTCATTTAATCATGTTTTGGCAATTTTGCTTTTTTAAGGTAAAGAAAGGAAGAGTTAATAAACAATATCACTGATCTAGAAAGAAAAAAACTAATTCACCTACAATATAAATATATATAAATATAGGGTACATGTTCAAGAAAAAAATCCTGTTCAAATAATAACAAATGAAATATACAAGACTGATTTAAAGGTTACATATTATGTGTGCATCAAAGTTATGGAATAAAAGATATAGAACATTGTACTTGTGAAAAAATCAAATCAATACTAGAGAAAGAAAATTGTTGTTCATTTGATTTGCATGATTCAATTAATTTTAGGTACCAGTTTGAAAATCATAAGGAAAAGAATCCATCTGTCTTCTGATGAGGGAACGCAACAAACTTATTCCTCACAAACACTGTCGTCCGAATCTGAGTCATCAATTGCTGCTGCATCCTGAAGCGATTCCCCCCAGTTCTGTACACCATATGAACCACTCCTTTGTTCATGTCTGGAGAATCCAAGAAACCACAGCACAGCTGCCACATGCGAACACACTCCCACGACACGCGCTCCAGCTCGGCATTTGCAGTACGTGGCTATCACCTGTGTCTCATTAAACTGGATCCATAATGTGTGCTTCCTGGATGAGACGTGTCTAGATTGCATCTTCACCTGAATTAGCCCTGGATCCTCACGATGGACATAGATGTCTGCTTCCCCTTCTATGTGTTCCTGAATGTAGCTAGAACTTAGCCGAAGTTGGTAACTACCACAAGTAATGTTGGACAGATCCTCCTCGTCGAGTTGTGGAAATCCATCCAAAGTATCAATCGACTTCCAAATGACACTTCGTCTGTCTAGACCATTTTCCAAAACATAATGTTGCAGGTAGTTCTTCTGATGGGAAAGGTACAGCATCTTTGCTGCAATGTGTTCATCATCAGCTGTAGTTTTGGACAGAGGGGGTGCAAACTTATTGGACAAAGCGCAAACAATGCGGACATAGTCGCCAATGTAAGGCACTTGATTTGTTGGTAAGATGTTGTTCAGATATTTCCATTTTTTAATTCTTGCATTGGCAGACTCCACTACCCACCTCACCTGCAAATATAATTAAAAATATTTAAAATATTATCACAATTGGTGGGAGGATTACTATATGTGTAATGACCTAAGACATTAGTCTATAAGTTGAGATGATAACTAGTAAAAAAAAATTACATATGCAAGCATTCATATGGCTTTGTTTTACTTTTACTGAAATAAGTAACTTTGTAGATACTACACAGACAAATGTAGAGAGTAATGTTTATGTTTTTCACTTTCAGAAATACTTACTTTTGATACAAGTCTGGAGGAATTGGCATCTTCAGTGGAAAGTTGTTTCTCTCCTTTTTTAAGGAAGGATGGCATCTGGGCTTTTATACCGAGATCCTCTAGTACTTGAAGGGAGTCCCGAAAACCGCGATCAACAACAAATACATCATCTTCCTGGACCCATTCACGCATTGCATCAGCATTTCTACTCATGGCATGGTTGAGGATAGCTGCGTCATTGTTCTTCGAATCTGCAAAGTATGGGCCTAAAATGGACAGGATGTATCCAGATGTAGAGCAGATGACCATGGGCTTAACCAGGGGACGTCCTTTGTGCATGCTATAGGTGCGCCTTTGGAATTTGAAGTTTTCACTTTTTTGGATATAGATGTAAGTTCCATCTATTACCAGAATGGCCTTGGGGTCCCCTGCATCACCAAATAAAAACTGAGCTAATGGCCTCGTGTGATCGGAAATGATGGCCTCCCTTGAAATATGTTGAAAACCAAGGTTGTTTGGTACGAAAGTTGACATCAGTGATTTTCTTACAGAAGAAATTGCACGACGCAAGCTTGATTTTGATATTCCAAATAAGGTGGCCATGATTTTGTTTGGAAGTCCAGACTTCATCTTCATAAGAAAGATGGCAACGGATGCCTTGATGCTTCTACTGGGTGTGTTGCGCATTTCCTGTGAGGCACAATTGCAGAGATCCTCAAAGTCCCTCTTGTTCAGCCCTGTCAAATTCAGATAATCTTCATCCGACATCTCTCTATCATCATCAAAATCTAATCTTGACTTGGAAATTGATGCCACGATATCTTTAAGTTTAGATATCAGAGCCATGATATCCTCGCCATCCAACAAGACCTGATCTCGAAAGTGAACATAATCACCATCCACTATCCTTCCATCTTTAATATGGTTTGGACAACATCTTGCACCCGCTGGCAACAGGATGTTATGCTGGGCAAAAAAATGTACCCTAGCATCTGAAGAAACAGATAACAATTTTGGTCCTGGGCGCTTGCAGAGACAGCAATAGGCATGGGTTTTTACCGTTGTTTTGATGGGGAGGCTGATAACAGTTTGGCCAGGTTCACAATTGTCTGCTTGAATTACTTCTGACGCACTGAACTGTTTTTTTTTGTAAAAATTCAAATTACACTTCGTGCAGATAACATCTCCTTCCTGAGCCTCAACCATGAAGTTTTTTTGTAAGTACTTAGCAGTGTCTTTATGGACATGTTTACGAGTTTTAGGCTTTGTTCTGCATTTACAGAGTATGCAGTTGAAGAATTTGGGTCCAAAACCAGGCATTCTAAAGTGAAAATAAAGTTTATTTTCTTTTAATAAAAAAATATTGTTGTATTGTAGTAAGGTCACATTTAATAAAATTTATCAAAATATTAAATGTGTTTGATTATATTATTTAATGTGATTTCAATGTTTACCTGGCCATGTGCTTGTGTTGTGATTTGAGTTGTGTGTAGTGTTTTGTCTAGTTTGGTAGTGTCATGTAATGCATTATTATGGTAATTGAGGCCTTGCCCTTTCCTGTCATCGGTTAGGTCAGTTAGGTCATTGCTGAGTATAGTATGTACTTGTTATTTTAGATATTTTTATTACTTTGAATTGGTTAATGAAGCTACTGGCTGTAAAGTATGTTTGACAAATATTTTTGATCTACCAAGCTTAATCATCAAAATCTATTTTTTACTTCTACTTTTATGTTTTATCTGTAAAGCTCTATGAATCTGTCCAGTTGAAATTAAGAGTTATTGCCCTTTGTTCAGAGTGCAGTACTGTATATATTTATCATGAGGTACATGTAAAGCATAATATTGAACATTTTGTCATATACTATTATATTTCATGTGATGTATATTATTTGTTTATGCTTGTAATTATTTGCTTTACAGATTTAAATGTATTTATATTTATGTTTATAATTTTAGGGCTAATCATCAATCATTGATCTATCAGAATATAATAAATTCATGAACCCTTACAGTGTCTTATTCTTATTGGACCTGTAACAGTATGAATCCTCAGATATGAGAGACAAGTTTAGTCATCTTAATATTTCAGATTTCAAAGAATTAATTTTTTATTGATTTGTACTTTATGACTGTCATTTATTATATATACTGTAAATAAAAATGAGGATGTATGAAAGTTTTCCTTTTATTAAAATATGTTTAAGAATACAATGCCCAATGTTGCTGTATATCTATGAACAATAAATCTGACGATGAGTTCATTATGATAGACAACTCTAGCGTAACATTTTCCAAACTCATAAAGTAAGAGTTGTTGTTCTTAGATAAAAAAAAAATCACAAAGGGGATGTGATCTGTGAAATTAATAAGGCCGCGCTCTAATAGACATATGACTAGCTTCTTAGAAGTTACATGTATATCTCTGTGCTTATTCTCGGACCGCAGCCAGTCTATTTGTGGATGTGTTGGAAAGGGGAAATGAGTCATTATTTTTTTGTAATCTTAAATGATAACGTATAAAATCGTGAGTAAAAATATTTCTAAAACTTGCTGTAAAATAAGTATTTATTCTTGTTATGTTTCAATTTCATTATCATTTCTCATAAGATAATAGGTATATGGTTATATAAAAAGAGTTTGTAATATGTACTCCCCAGCTTGAGAGTGTGTAAGATAGGAAAAGAAATCATGATTTTTCTGATAATAACGACGAATGCATGGCGAATAAAAGGCGAAAAATTGTTTTGATGATGCCAAAGCTGCGAATGACACATGGAATTTTTTTGTATACATTGTGCACTGCGCATTGCAGCTTAGCCTACTATGCAGACACCTTGGGCATTATCAAGTGACAAAGTTTTTTATAATGATCTTGTAAAATATCGACCAGAACAGGGTGTTGCACTACTTTTGTTTTTTTCCCTAAAAGTGTAGCAGATAATAAAAAGAATTTTTTTTGGGGGGTGCACTCCCCCCCCCTTAAATCCGTCACTGCAGTGACTGTACATAGTATGTAATAAGAACGATGGGCACTTATTTGGAAATTGCATATTGTCATTAGTTGAAGTTTAGGTTATTCTTACTGCAAAATATGAGATTATCTGTTTTTAAAAGGGAATCTTTTGTTCTGAATCATTGCCTCCCTGAAACGGAATGCATTTGAAATCCTCAAAACTCCAGATTTTTCAGATTTTTATTTCAAAGACGCATACTTTAATAAAAAAAAAAAAAGAGATTTGCAATTTATCATCCGAAGAATGCACATAACATATTGTTTACAGTGCCGTATTTTAGTCGAGTGCAGGTGGGCGCATTTGCAAATATTTTTACCTGGTAATGGGTTTGAATCCTGGAAAGGTCGGACTTTTTCATAAGTAAGGGAAGTGATATATCTCTTTTAGAGAGAGAGAGAGAGAGAGAGAGAGAGAGAGAGAGAGAGAGAGAGAGAGAGATAATATCAAGAATTTAAAAATAACATTTACATGTTTTATATATATATGTGTAGATGAATGCAGAATTTAATTTGTTTCTTCTTCGACGATACTGTGATGAGAAACTAATGAGGCAAAATGCTATTATTAAGCTAAGCATCAATTTCACTAAAAATTAAGTATTTTGGAAGAATTTAATTTTTACACATTTGATGTAAAATTCACTTAAATTCTGTGCGAGATACATTGGCCACTGTTGCAGTCTGTTGTTAACTTTCACATACAAAATGATCAGCTCTTATGTTTCGTACGTATATATTATTCAAGTGGACATTCATTGTGTGTTACATTGTCAAACATTAACTTTATTACATATGTGAAGAAGTACTAATCAGTGTTAGAAAACCCTACATGGCATGATTGTTTTTTTTCTCTCATGATGACTTGATGTTATAGGTAATAAACATGTTCTATTTATTTTTAAATGGATGGGGGGGGGGGGGGGGTACTGGTCTGACGCAATTTTTGTTACTAATTTTTAGGTGGAATACAAAAAACCGATAATGTAAAAGGTTTAAAAGCTGTGAATTAAACTAAATTATATACAGTGTAAATGTTTTTAAATATGCATTCTTCAAAGTGTGGCACTTTGTGAAAAACTATTGAAATATAAATATTTACAATGAATTATATAGGCATATTTGATAATATTAAGAATAAATAAAAAAAAATGATATAATTAATAATTACCTTCAGCATTTAGTGCTGACGATGAATCAGGAACTGGAACGCTTCACTTTGAGAAAATTACGTTGACCATATTCTTGTAGAATTTACGCACTGGTTCTTACATCAAAACGT